TATATATATATATATATAATAAAGTCACAGCTGTAAATTCCTCATCGGTATAATTCTGGAATAAATCCTGTAATTCTAGAGATTTGTGACGCCATAACTTGCAGCATAGATTGTGATGTTCAGAATGTACACATAACCTGCTGAAAGGAATTATTCATGTTACATAAAAAACCACTTAAATCTTAAAGTAGTATCATAGATAGTGTGCAGTTTTACAGCTCACTGTGGACTCCTATACAGATGCAAAACAATATAAAGATCTTAGAAAAGTTGCAAAAACTGTTAAGTAGAACTGAAATAAAATTAAACTCAAGAAATGTCTGTAAGACTGAATAGATGTATCATTTGTTTTTAAAGGCATCTAAACTTTTTTTAGATGCCTGTCTAGAGCTGCACAATATCAATTAATCAAGTTTATGTATATTGCACTCATCAGTCCAATCTAAGTGCCTTACTTAGATTGGACGTCTTGGAACAAGTTTAGTGATGAGTTTTCCTGAGTTCTGGTACAGACTGTACAGATGTGAAACCGCTAACAGCCCACACACAGGTGTTGATAATGAGCCTGTGCTGTGCTACACACACACTTTCACTCCATCCATGTTGTAGAGCTGCTCCCAGTTATTCTTAAATGTTGTGGTTTTCTAGAGCCATTTGGGCGCCAGCTGCCATGACAAGAATTGCAGCTTGCTCACACCATGAATGGACGTGTTCACATCCTGTGTGTCTTCACTCAGAATGACAAGTTCTGTTTCTCATTTTTATCATTTCCAAACAAAAGGTGTTGTTTGCCTCCCGACCCCACTAAGGGACAAGGGTGTGTAGAAAACGGATGGATCGATGGATGGATGGAGGTGTTGTTTGCGTAGCCACTGATTTGTCCTCACTAGCTTTCCATACCAAAAGGCAGGTAGTGGTTCCTCCCACTTCCTGGTTTTTAGATTGAGTTGGCTTCAGTATTAGCCCAAGAATACTGAAGGGCTGAAAATTATATCATGATATAAGAGTTTCATATCAGTCCATGTCGATAATTAGTGATTACTATTTTGTTTTAAATATCTGAAATATTGCCAAACTGGTGGGGCTTACAGTTTTTTCCGCAGTTTTCCCTCCACACCATTGATTTTTGTTGTTAAGTAGTTATGATGCATGGTGGTGAAATTTGAAACTGATCTTGCGCAAGTTAATCCACAGGTTGTTGCTAGGTAACCAAAGAGTGAGTGAGTTGGTTGATGCTAGCTGCTCAACCATGAGAGGTTGAGTGGCTAAAGCCTTTCTTTGCCTACATCTCCCAGAATGCTGTGCAGTTCTGGCTCAGAGTTAAGTGAATATTCTATATATTGAATATTCCATCAGATGTATTATCTATTGAAATTGATCATGTTCCTATTGTAATATATATTGTTACCCAGGCCTTGCTGTCTCTTCTACTTGGTTGGTTTGTGTAACATTACCACATGTAAATAGCAACCTAGTTGCGTCTCTACAATGAGAACCAAAGTTGCCCTTTTGAGGGGCCCCTGGAGTGTTACCTGTAAAGAGCAGTATGGACCGCCACCAGCATCAATATGTATAAACATTTCATATTGCTTTGATGACTACAGGTTCTCCTCTGTCCTGGGAGGAAGGGAGTGTTGACATGTTCCCACTGCTGCTTTTGTTCTTTCCAGTTGAGGGCAAATGTTTTAGCTTCTCATTGAAATTTTAGATTGTTTTTGATTTCCCAAAAAAGGTTTTATTTAGTTATGTTGGTGAAGTTTTACTTGCAACTACCATAGGACTGTAGACGACGTAGCGGACCGAGCTGCAGAGGGTGAGTTTTCAGGTTCTGTCCTTCCTGTAGCTCCATACAAACATCAATACCAAGATTTATAGACAGACAGCTCAACCAAAGCTCCAGGTGCCTGCAGCTCCTGGATCTTTGTTGAAGGTTGATTGAAAACGAACCTGTTTTCAGAGCCATCAAATCTGATTTTCTCTAGTTTTATAAGTAGTACATCTGTTATATGCTTTCAATATTTGTGTGTTTTTCTATCATTCATTGCATGTTCTGTTTTTTTTTCTGTGTGCGCACGCGTGTGCGTGTGTGCGTGCGTGCGTGCATGTGTGTATTTGTGTGTGTGTGTGTGTGGGTGTGTGTGTGTGTGTGTGTGTGTGTGTGTGTGTCTGCACAGATGCCTGGGGTTGTGGCATGGTGAGAGCCTGATTGTGGCCTCTGACAGCCTGCTGACTTCCTTGAGACTCAGTGTTGTGTTTCTCCTGGGTTTTTAGGCCTGTAATAAGTTTCATTATCCTGTTATATTGTTTGTGTTTTACATTGTTAGGATGTAAAACACAAAGAATATAACACAATAATGAAACCTGTTATATTGGTTTCATTACTTTTCATACTTTTTCATACTATTCTTTTCTATTCTTTCTAATTCTGACCAAAACATCTTTTCTACTCCATTATTCTTAGAATAATCTTATTATTACAGTACCTACTGGTAATTTGTTAATATCTTCCTTAAACAAATAGATTTTAAGTTTTAAAACCAAGATAATATTCAGTAATAAATTAGGCATCACTGGTCACATTTACTACTATTTATCAGCTGGGCTCAGGAAGTTAGCTGTGAGCTAATCAGAAGACTATGGGATGATCACTGGGTTCTCTTCTTCTGTGGAAGTGTTTCCTTTCCACTGAGGCCCATCATCACACCCCTAAAGATTCTACATTACAGTAGAATCCAGATAGATGTTCAACATTCAGCTCAATTTTAGAACAGTGAATAATAAACTTATAGGATTCAAAAGCTGATGCCTGACACAGTGGGAGTTTCTGGGTTGCATGAAGTCGACCAACTTCTGACACTATGATCCAGGTCAGGACCATTGGACTCCATTAAAGTCCAGTTATTGGACTGTGAGTCACTGGCATAGAACCAAGACGCTGTTCACTGGTGTGTTTGAGGTCGCTGGCATGTTGAAACTCTAATTTCATGGTAAATGGACCCAACAGTTTGAGAAACATCCATATATCGTGATGCCTGAGCCACCATGCTTCAGGCTTGAGTCCATTCACTCTGAGCCAGGTTCTGGTTCTGCTGGAGGTTTTTCATATTAAAGGGAACTTTTCCCTCTCCACTGTCGCTACATGCATGCTCAGTGTGAGGGATGTTTGAAAAGTCAGTGACACAGTACAAGGTACTATTTCTACATGTTTCTCCTGGAGGAATGCTGAAAGTCAGTGACTCAATCTTTTGGGCTTCCTTAGATAGAAACTTTTCAATCAATTTGAATAATAAACTCAACCTGAACTATACATTGGATTGACTGAACTTTTTTCCCCCTTGTTTATAAAGAAGAGATGATGTGTTATGAACTGAATTGTAGTGTGACACAAATTCAGTTTTGTTTTCAGACCCCTGACCCTAAAAACAACAATGCTGCTTTCAAATGTTGCTCCATTTTTCTTTAGGTCAGTGGATTGGCTCTTCAGTTAACTGCAACCTCTTCAGCACATGTTGTTTTCTTTTACAGAGGTTTAGTGTCTTGTAATTGAACTGTGTGGTTTGAATACAAGTTTAAAGCATAGGCATGTTGCAGTTACACAGCTGTTGGACAAATATCATAGTGATTTCTCTTAATGTCCATCATATTTTAGCTTGAGTTTACCCTCTGGTTTGTATTTTAAAGTCAACATAAACCTTCATGGAGGGCTGGCTGTATAGTTAATGAATAATCAAACATGGTACTTTTCAAAAGGGACATTAATAAAAAATTAGTTGGAGGCATTGCCAAAGCACAAGCCTTTGTTCTGACTGGAAGTGGACATCTTTACAATCCTGGAACCAAGTGTTTCCTTTTCCTAGAGTAATCTGCCTTTGCCCCCCTCTTCCCAAACCCCCTCCCACTCACAGTCTGAACAGCCAGGAAACAGTGTGTGATTGTTTGGGGCCAGTCTCCCAGATTTACAGGGTCTTTGCATTAACAGTACTATCGTTAATGTCCATGCTATCGTCAAGTCTGAGGACAGTCCTGCAGCCTGTGAGTCCAGTATAGGAGTCCTGTGTGTGTGTGAGAATGAGCTTGTGCTCACAGTAGTGGGTGGAGGCTGTGTCACAGAGGGCCACTGTGTTCTCGGGCAACATGAATCTGGGCCAGTGTGTGTGCGGCCCAGTGGAGGGGAGTAGTAGCCTGTCCACACACGCCACCTCCAGGCATGTCAGACATTATTGACTCGTCCACACACTCCGTACAGACATGGCTGCTCCATTTGTGCATGTATGGACTTGTTTGATTAATGTGCCCTCGTTTCTCTTCTTCCTCAGGGCTGTGGGAAAGACCTGTCTGCTGATCAGCTACACCACCAACGCCTTTCCTGGTGAATACATCCCCACTGTGTGAGTGAGCCGTAAATACTAACACTGGAGGAAGAAAAAAAGCAACTCGTGCTGATGACAGTTTACCATGACAGTTAGGGATGATGGTGCTACAAAATAACGAGTAGAATACTAATTAGTAAACCTTCTCTGTTAAGCATTGCATGTAGAATATACAAAAGAAAGTATATCCTCTATCATGATAAGCACAAATCAACAGGCCAGGATAAAACACAAAGTCTTTATTTCTTTACCAGAAACAAAGAGAAACCGAAGCAGTTAGTGGAAACCCTCTGCCATAAAGTCACAGTGTGAAGAACAACCGTAGATCTTAATGAAGGTCACGTCGATAATGTAATATATAATGTATTTACTGACTGGGACTTTTGTACATAAAATAAATGTGTTTAATTGCATTAAAATTTGTAATGCCTTAAAATCAATGTAATTAATTAATTACATTGATTTTTGCATTGTCTTATTTAACATATAACACATAGATCAAAAAGTGAATCATGAAGAGCAAAAAAAAAAAAAAAACACATGTAAGTCACATCACATAAGTCAAAGAACTATCCAATTTATGAAAAAGAGTCTGACGTAGCTAGAACTGTAGCTAAAGGGTGTTTCAGCTTTTCTCCAGAGCCTTGTCTGAACATCCTCTGATCTAATCCTGAGGTTTACATTTGTTTTTGCTGCCATCCATTTCTTTATCAGGACTCAGATCAGCTGGGAGTTTGTACAATTCATGCTTGTTTTTCCTGACTGTGTGCTCTCCTGTCTGTTCTAGCTTCGACAACTACTCTGCCAATGTAATGGTGGATGGGAAGCCAGTGAACCTGGGCCTCTGGGACACGGCAGGACAGGAGGACTATGATAGATTAAGACCATTGTCTTACCCACAGACGGTACTCCGACTCCTTCCTCCCAAAATCACTTCCTCTCTCACACACTGTCATGTAGGAACAACTGTACGGACAAATGTACATATAGGTTCATATACAGTAACCAAGTGAGAAATTAGGACACTCCATTAGAGGCTACATAAGGAAAGTTCATTTCTGTTGCATTTTAAAGGGAAATTGTTCTGATGTTTGCTTACACCAGGGGTGTCCAAAGTCGGTCCTCGAAGGCCGGCAACCTGCGGGTTTTAGTTCTCTCCCTGGTTTAACGCACCTGGATCAAATGATGGCTCATTAGAAGCCTAAGAAGAACATTGACTTGCTGAGAAGATTGTTACTACCACCATGGAGAGAACTAAAACGTCCAGGATACCGGCCCTCGAGGACCGACTTTGGGCACCCCTTGCTTACACAAAACTAATCAGTATATCTGTGGAGTTTAGACAGATGCAGTTAACCATTTAAGCCAGTAGGTGGCGTATCCCTCCATAAAAACTCAAATAAATTACTGACTATACCTAAATGAATTCATAATACAGTAAATATTCATTATGTAAATATTTTAAGCAACTTACAACAAAAATACTTAGCTTACTTTTTTGTCTTCAACTAAATTTCCCAACAAAGCTGCCAGGTAACATCTGGTTTTCCCATTTCTTATAATGGTAATATTCTGAGTCGTATATTTTCAAACTTGAAAAACAAATGTTTCCACATCCATTTTGAACTGTTTTCCCGCCAACGCGCCTTGGGCCTCTGGTCATCGACCAGACTCTGCCAGTGTCAAGAAAATAGCATTGCAAAATGATTAAAATAAATAAATATATAATTCACTGCAAAGGATAAAAATCAGCACATCTAAGAAACATGTTAAACAATCATGTTTTTATCTCTAATGGGGTGTTTTCCTGGAAAAAAGCTTTCAGTTGCTTTATCAATAAGACAATAGTGTTAAATGTTGAGAAAAGAAAAAGTCTATTTTAAAGACAGACAGAAAGACCTGCGGGAAGTGTTTGTTTATATTTAACAGAACACTTTAATAAGGTTTTTATTCATTTTTTATGACTGTTTGTTCTTTTAAAAATTGATATTAAATTTCCACATATCCAAATATTTTAGAAAAACACACAACTGACCATCTGGTATAAGGAAATGTAACGTAAAATAAAACAGGAATTATACAACTTCCTGTAGCTCACAGAATCTAAAGCTTCATATTATTTGATAATTGGCCTATACATAGTGATCCAGAAATTAATTGATCCAGTTATTCTATAAATAAACTCAAACCTTTTCGTGGCCACGAACACACTCACACAAACATACAGATTTCCTGTCAACCAGCGATCTCTCTGATTCTCTCCCAGGATGTGTTCTTGATATGCTTCTCCCTGGTCAGTCCGGCCTCCTTTGAGAACGTCCGAGCTAAGGTCAGTACGCTGACTGACCGCCCGCCCCCTTCCATTATCCCGCTTGAGCCCAGTCTGACCACTAGGAGGCACATCTATAGCGCCCCCTGGCATTAGAGACAGCCACTGCAGCTGCTCAGTCCTCGGCTTGGAATGGTCAGACGTTAAGCTGACTCCGGCTGAAGCTGGAGCAGAGAGCCGTTGCAAAGCGAGGCCTGAAGCAGTGCTAGCGCTCTGCGGAGGGAGAGGCGGCCGCTGAGGTTTGGCGTGCTGAGCGTAAAGAAATGCTCTCATGTGAAATCACACCTTGAACAAGGTCCCACCTCCCTCTGCAGAACTTCCTCATCATGTCATTCAAAATTGTTCAACCTACAAATTATTTGTAGATAACTTTTATGAAAAATATTTTTTATATATTTGCTGAAGCTGTCACTATATCGGTGTAACATGAGACAGATAATCTGTGAAAAAAATTGTCATCACATGGTGACAGTTTCAACAGATATGTAAAAAACATATTTTTGAAGTTCCATACTGCAGCTTTAACCTTTCATATTGACTCCTTCATGTCGCTCATCCTTGTGGAGAGGCGTGTAACACTTGTCCTCTGCTTCCAGTTAACTCTCCTGTTTCTTGTCTCCACTGACATTGTCTCTGTGTAAATCCACTTGTGCACACGGCCCTGTGTGTGCCTCTGGTGCTGTAGTGGTACCCAGAGGTGAGACACCACTGCCCCAACACACCCATCATCTTGGTGGGGACGAAGTTGGACCTTCGAGATGACAAGGACACCATCGAAAGGCTGCGGGACAAGAAGCTGTCTCCCATTACCTATCCTCAGGGTCTGGCTATGGCAAGGGAGATCGGTGAGAACAGCGCAGACAGAACACATTTGTTAGCACTCATTTATGAGTAATGCTGCTAGAATGGAGAATATGAACTCCAAGTGAAGGATGGGTAATTTAGGTAGTTTACTATGCAGGGTTTGCGTTTCTTTAGATATGATGTAGTGGCCACTGTGGTGGTTTGATCTTTAAGGGACAGTATTATGGAAAGTTGACTCTTTTTAGCTGTAGTGCTATTTCCTCATTAAAAAAATACCTGGAGTGTTGCTTTGATTCTTTCATACGTGTTTGGGAAAAATCCTTCAATCCCCATGGCAACCATTCAGCTGCGCAAAACACTTCGATGGACCTAGCTCTGCCTCTGATGTGCAGCTCCTCCTTGGAGTCACAGTTTCCAGGCTTCAGTCTCACAGAGCAGCCCTCCACATCACTCCCCACTCAGCTCCTTCAGACTAGCCAGCAGCAATTAGCAAACACCTTGTACAACTGTACATCTGCTGATAGGAGCTACTTCTCAGTGCAGTACTGCTAAAAACATTGTTAAAGGGTTAATAGAGGAGCCTTGTTGTAATGACTTCCTGAAGGTGGAGTGGCAAAAAGAGCAGAAGTTTTTTAAAGAGAGATGCCCAATTTCAAGTTGTTAAATTACACAGTCAACTTTATTTTAAGTTTTTATA